GTCAACATATTCTGTTACACCAAATACACCAAATAATGATATTTTTAAAAAAGCATCATATGACCCCTTTAAATGGGACTTTTGATCAAGCCATTGTTTGTGTTATAAAATATAATGTCCTGATTTTTTCTCTCTTCTGTGTTCGCTCTTGCAGTATTTTGATATTGTTCTACCCTCTGGAGCCATGGCAGATTGGAAAGAAAGGAACAGTGATGAGTTTCTTATAAGACTTCACAGTCTTTTATGTGTGATTCCTGTTTGGGATTCAACTAGCCGGACACGCATTGCTCCTGGATTATAGGACCGTTTTGTTCTTATAGGAATAAGAATATTTCCTGATTTTCTTGAACAGTAGCCTGTGATTTAAAAATAATCACTTTACTAAAATAAATATAAAATGCATTTAGCATTTTGATAGGAAATCAATATATTGGGTTGGATGTGTCTATTTTTAGACAATACGGAAAATAAGTTGATGCATTTATATTATATAGTTAATTGTATGAATTGCTTAGTGTTAATCACTTTTCCAGAGAACGTGCCATATTCAATCAATCAGTTCATCTGTCAAACACATCTACGGGTCAAATCAGACCATAATGACCAGCTTACAAAAGCCATAGAAATATCCATAACCATGTAGTCAGCTCAGGACAAAAAGTGAGTTTTGATTTACACAGATATCAGTTGCATTATAGCACAGAGTATAAGTGCACACAAAATGTATTTTCTCACTAATTGTCTTTATCATCAGCTGTGTTTGTCAAGTACATGGATTCAGAAATTTGCTAAAAATTAAATGGAAAAACAATGAAAACGCTCTTGAATAAAGCATCTGTGTAATTCATTCAGGAGTTTTGGGATGATGTGGGTAGCATTTGCTTCCAGGGTAGACAAGCAGTTTGGATCTACAGTATGCGTTTCATGGTTCAAGAAGAAAAGAAGAACACTCACTTTTCTTGCACACAAATAAACATGAAATACATTGTAATTGTGAAATCATACTATTTATTAGTGATACTGTGAAAAC